CCCATTGCCTATATCCCAGAAACACATACCCAAATACATGCACAAACACAAACACACACTCCCCTTGCACATGTAGTGTACACTGGATAATGCTCCTGTGCCACAAATAATCGTCTGGTTTGCAGGATACGTGACGAATTACTGACGCATGCTTGTGGTTTCCAGCCTCCCTCAGAGGCCGTTGCCTCACTAGGGTCCAAGAATCCTGGAATATTGACCTCTCATAGCCATCTGCTGCTCTGTGAAACACATCCCCACATGCTGTGGAGGAACACAAACAAAGACACTGTAGAGCCAGAGTCATGTCCCAGACCCAGACCATGAGACCCAGACCATGAGAACACCAAGGGATCCCGTGCATACAGTGACTTGCGAAAGTATTCACCCCCCTTGGCATTTTTCCTATTTTGTTGCCTTAAAACCTGGAATTAAAATTGATTTTTTGGGGGTTTGTATTATTTCATTTACACAACATGCCTGCCACTTTGAAGATGCAAAATATTTGTATTGTGAAACAAACAAGAAATAAGGCAAGAACAAAAAAAACTTGAGCGTGCATAACTATTCACCCCCCCAAAGTCAATGCTTTGTAGAGCCATCTTTTGCAGCAAAGCCTGAGCCCCTGCCTGGCTCACCACACCCTCACTTACAGTGGGGAAAAAAAGTATTTAGTCAGCCACCAATTGTGCAAGTTCTCCCATTTAAAAAGATGAGAGAGGCCTGTAATTTTCATCATAGGTACACGTCAACTATGACAGACAAATTGAGGGAAAAAAATCCAGAAAATCATATTGTAGGATTTTTAATGAATTTATTTGCAAATTATGGTGGAAAATAAGTATTTGGTCACCTACAAACAAGCAAGATTTCTGGCTCTCACAGACCTGTAACTTCTTCTCTAAGAGGCTCCTCTGTCCTCCACTCGTTACTTGTATTAATGGCACCTGTTTGAACTTGTTATCAGTATAAAAGACACCTGTCCACAACCTCAAACAGTCACACTCCAAACTCCACTATGGCCAAGACCAAAGAGCTGTCAAAGGACACCAGAAACAAAATTGTAGACCTGCACCAGGCTGGGAAGACTGAATCTGCAATAGGTAAGCAGCTTGGTTTGAAGAAATCAACTGTGGGAGCAATTATTAGGAAATGGAAGACATACAAGACCACTGATAATCTCCCTCGATCTGGGGCTCCACGCAAGATCTCACCCCGTGGGGTCAAAATGATCACAAGAACGGTGAGCAAAAATCCCAGAACCACACAGGGGGACCTAGTGAATGACCTGCAGAGAGCTGGGACCAAAGTAACAAAGCCTACCATCAGTAACACACTACGCCGCCAGGGACTCAAATCCTGCAGTGCCAGACGTGTCCCCCTGCTTAAGCCAGTACATGTCCAGGCCCGTCTGAAGTTTGCTAGAGTGCATTTGGATGATCCAGAAGATGATTGGGAGAATGTCATATGGTCAGATGAAACCAAAATATAACTTTTTGGTAAAAACTCAAATCGTCGTGTTTGGAGGACAAAGAATGCTGAGTTGCATCCAAAGAACACCATACCTACTGTGAAGCATGGGGGTGGAAACATCATGCTTTGGGGCTGTTTTTCTGCAAAGGGACCAGGACGACTGAAGGAAAGAATGAATGGGGCCATGTATCGTGAGATTTTGAGTGAAAACCTCCTTCCATCAGCAAGGGCATTGAAGATGAAACGTGGCTGGGTCTTTCAGCATGACAATGATCCCAAACACACCGCCCGGGCAACGAAGGAGTGGCTTCGTAAGAAGCATTTCAAGGTCCTGGAGTGGCCTAGCCAGTCTCCAGATCTCAACCCCATAGAAAATATTTGGAGGGAGTTGAAAGTCTGTGTTGCCCAGCGACAGCCCCAAAACATCACTGCTCTAGAGGAGATCTGCATGGAGGAATGGGCCAAAATACCAGCAACAGTGTGTGAAAACCTTGTGAAGACTTACAGAAAACGTTTGACCTGTGTCATTGCCAACAAAGGGTATATAACAAAGTATTGAGAAACTTTTGTTATTGACCAAATACTTATTTTCCACCATAATTTGCAAATAAATTCATTAAAAATCCTACAATGTGATTTTCTGGAGAAAAAAAATCTCATTTTGTCTGTCATAGTTGACGTGTACCTATGATGAAAATTACAGGCCTCTCTCATCTTTTTAAGTGGGAGAACTTGCACAATTGGTGGCTGACTAAATACTTTTTTTCCCCACTGTATGTCTATATTAGCTTGGCACATCTAGCCACTGGGATATTTGCTCCTTCAAATTGGATGGGTTCCGCTGGTATACAGCAATCTTTAAGTCATACCACATATTCTCATTTGAATTGAGGTCTGGGCTTTGACTAGGCCATTCCAAGACATTTGAATGTTTCCCCTTAAACCACTCGAGTGTTGCTTTAGCAGTATGCTTAGGGTCATTGTCCTGCTGGAAGGTGAACCTCCGTCCCTGTCTCAAATCTCTGGAAGACTGAAACAGGTTTCCCTCAAGAATTTCCCTGTATTTAGCGCCATCCATCATTCCTTCTATTCTGACCAGTTTCCCAGTCCCTGCCGATGAAAAACATCCCCACAGCATGATGCTGCCACCAGTGTTCTCGGGGTGATGAGAGGTGTTGGGTTTGCGCCAGACATAGCGTTTTCCATGATGGCCAAAAAGCTCAATTTTAGTCTCATCTGACCAGAGTACCTTCCTCCATATGTTTGGGGAGTCTCCCACATGCCTTTTGGCGAACACCAAATGTGTTTGCTTATTTTTTTCTTTAAGCAATGGCTTTTGTCTGGCCACTCTTCCGTAAAGCCCAGCTCCGTGGAGTGTACGGCTTAAAGTGGTCCTATGGACAGATACTCCAATCTCCGCTGTGGAGCTTTGCAGGTCCGTCAGGGTTATCTTTGGTCCCTTTGTTGCCTCTCTGATTAATGCCCTCCTTGCCTGGTCCGTGAGTTTTGGTGGGCGGCCCTCTCTTGGCAGGTTTGTTGTGGTGCCATATTCTTTCCATTTTTTGCTAATGGATTTAATGGTGCTCCGTGGGATGTTCAAACCCTGATCTGTATTTCTCCACAACTTTGTCCCTGACCTGTTTGGAGAGCTCCTTGGTCTTCGTGGTGCCGCTTGCTTGGTGGTGCCCCTTGCTTAGTGGTTGTTGCAGACTCTGGGTCCTTTCAGAACAGGTGTATATATTCTGAGATCATGTGACAGATCATGTGACACTTAGATTGCACACAGGTGGACTTTATTTAACTAATTATGTACTTCTGAAGGTAATTGGTTGCACCAGATCTTTATTTAGAGGCTTCATAGCAAAGGGGGTGAATACAATGCACACACCACTTTTCTGTTATTTATATTTTAGAACAGTGAGCGGGCATTCCCTTTCATTCTATGCACCAGACCCAGACAAGCCTTAGGAAATCAGAGTGAATGTGTCCTATCTTCCTGTTAGGATCTCATAGAATTACTATGTTATGGAATGCCTATGATCTCACACTACCACTATCTGTGGCCTCGGTAGCGTCCGGCTCCTACAATATAGAGGTGTTCTCATTGACAAAGCCTATTGACAGGATACACACTTACACAGGTACTCATGGTGAGTCACAACAAACCTCCTACCGTGACTAGCCTTACATTAGTCTCTCCTACATCTCTCAACAGCAGGAAACGGGAGAGCCTGCGTCACCATTGGTCTGAAATTGGTCTGAAATGCAGTGGCGATCTGTGGCAACATGCAGGAACGCTCTGAGGCACATCTGTGCCAAGAAAGTGTCTAAATATGAGTGTGTGCTCTCGGGAATGACTGTGTGCCATGGATGGGTTTGTGCCAGTGAATACCACAACTTATGTAGGCATAGGACTGTGATTAGTAACAAGGTGCCTGGGCTCATCGACTACATGTATTACTTTTGTAATGTAGTTGTTATAAAATGAATTGTAGATTGTGACTAAAGAGTTGCGTTGTTTTGTTTGTGTGTAAAATGCATTCACTTCATAAAAGGAGGTTTAGGGACAGCCATATTTATAAACCGAAAAGGAGAGGAAAATGTATGTCATTCAAACCTCAGTCATCAGCTATGCACATACAGTAGAGGAGACATTATGATGCTGAAAACTGAAGCCCACTTTAGTCTGGAAATGTACTTTAGAAATCACAGAAAAAAAGTGGTGGCCACAAGTTTTCTCCCAGTCTTTTTCTGTGTCTCTCCCACCATCTCTCTCTCATCAGAACGGTCCCTCCACAGGGCGATGATGGGACTGGGCAGGACCTCGTTAGGGAGAGCCAAGTATATCAGTGTGGGCGTCGGTGGGGAAGTTTGCATGTGTGGCCTTGTGGAGGTTAAGACTACACGAGTGGCTGTCCGCTGTGCAGTTCAGGACTTGTGATACTGCCAGTAGGGTTGACTGGCGCTGTCCATGTACTAGAAAGCTGGGTTTGGTTTGGCTGGTCTAGCAGTTAAAGCTGCCTATTTGCTGTCTGTGGAGGCTGAAGACGCAGAGCCATTGGCAGGAGTTATAGGAGAAGGTAACTAAGCTTGGCCTAGGCTAGGGGGAAGTGTCATGCATTAGATTGATAACAGGAGAAGTATAAGTCGCTCTGGATAAGAGCGTCTGCTAAATGACTAAAATGTCAAATGAGAAGAACTAGTACTACACTGTTCAATTACAGCAGTTTACCTAATTAAAATGGTCATTTTTCCCAAGTAGTAAAATAAGTGTTATTTTTTAAGAAATAGTGCAATTTTCTTCTGGGTGAAGGGTTAGACAGGGTAAGAATTGGAACAATCGACTGTCATGCCTATCAGGTGACGGTAACCCGGGCAACAACTCTAAGCAGTGGGAGGGCGTTTCTATCCAGACTCCACCCTCTGGTCTAGCCCTATGGATTGGAGAGTGGGAGTGAACTAACCTACAAAAGTTCCCTCCCTAAATCTAAATGAAACCACTGTGGAATGCACACACACTCCCTCTTACACACCCTCACACTCAGTCATGCCCGTCGATCAAGTCAATGCTTCTTCCTGTTTCTTTGCGAGTTCCCTCTCTGTTTTGTCTCGTTTGGCTAAATTAGGCATAGTGGGAGCTCCTGGAGAGAGTGTACTGACGGAAGGCTGAGCAGAACAACATAGCTGCTAGAGAGGAAGGGCTCTTTCTTTGGAAACCTTTACAGGACTTTTTGAGTGGGTGAGTTTTGACGGTGCCCATGAGATTAGCCCCCAGGGGGGTTGTTGAGTAGGGGGTAAGGGGGGAAGGGAGGAGGTGAGTGTGTGCCTGGGAGGTGGAGAGAGGAGTGTAGGAAACACTGGGGCGCTGAATTTAATATTCCTTCCGCTGGACTGGAGCAACCCAAAACAGACAGATAGAGACTCTTCCTGATGGATCTGAGGGGGAAACCCTACCTAGAATTCCCAAAGACTGTTAAAGAGTAAACGTCACACACATCCTGACCAAAGGAAAGGAGAAGGGCCTGGAGGAGCATGGAAGCACTGAGGGAGTCTTTTCTGCATCTGACCTTTCAGATGTCCACGTACAAGAGGGCCACTCTGGACGAGGATGACCTGGTGGACTCCACCGGAGATGAGATCTACCCCTCCTCTGCCATGCAGGTAGGCACAACTGTTCCTTTGTATAAAAATTAGCGACAAACTCTGACACATGCCAAGCCTGTCTAGAGACGCACTCATTCTGCTGCTTCTATTATGTTATGATCTGCTTGCATTGTATGACATTCCATTCCAAAGAAATTCATAACCATTGAGCTAATCAAATTCCAGATGTTCTATTGTCTTTGTGAGGACTATGAGCGCAACATGCTATTTCTTGACAGCCTGCTATTCTCTGTCAGCCATGTGCTACGTTTAACATTAAGGGCTACTTGAAGAGAAAGACTTCAGTCTCAGGAGGAACCCTATTATAAAACAAACTACCCTTTACAGAGGCCCATACAGTATCTGCATTTCTGGGTGCTTCAAAAAGCCTGGATAATCAGTTGCAGAGCCCAGCAGAATACAACAGTCTTATAACTCTGAAATAACCCCTGTGCAGGATCCTTCTTTCTCCCCTGCACTAAGTAGTCACCAATAATCACTTATTTTGAGCAGAGATATATCCACTATCCACAACTGATTAAGTAGGAGAATGCAGAACAACATACTGCACATACTGTGGACTGTTGTTTTTTGGATTATCATAGAAACAAACGTATCCGTAGATAGAGAAAGGTATAATGAAGACACTGTTGCCAAATTTTTAAGAGGCTACAACAACAGTAGCTATGTAACTGAAACCAAAACAGGTTATACAATGGACCTGCTCTGTCTGAGTCAGTGGCTTCACACATGTCTGCCTACAAGTCTTCTCAGTTGCACACATCAATACAGATTACAAATTCAAACCCACCCAAACCTGTCTGGAGGATTGGGAAGCCTGTGGCGGCTTTGGCACCAGGGCTGCTCACATTCAGTGTGACATTTGAACTTTGCCTTAGTTAATGGGACTAAATCTAATTATTTAACAGGTCTGGGATAATTGGTTTTCACCGGGTGTGTAAAGCTCAGTGAGGGGAAGCCACACTAATTCCTATAGTAATTGAGCAGATCTAAAACTCAATTGAGCTTTCAGTAAAAGCAGTCAGGCTGAAATTTTAAAAAACATGACCATGTCCTAGTTCATTCATTGTGGTTAGTGCTATGCTTTCTCCTTATCTGGGGCAGAGGCACAATGATTTTTAATCATGCCCGCTGAAAAACTATAAAAGAATGAACAAAATATGAATACATGACCTTTATATAGAGGGGTGTTGAAAGGCATTATGGTGTGGAAGCCATTATGTATTGTAATATACCATGTGAGTCATTTCAACCATAACCAATACATTTTAGTCACACAGTATTAGCACTACTGCCTCTGTGGTGTTCAGTGTATCATCTCTGACCAGAAAAAAGATACCATTCATCATAGGATCATAGAACATAGAGTGGTTTGTTTGCCTGAGTACTGTGGTTAAGGGTTGTATACCAATCATTGTAACCATTACACACAGTAACCAGTGTATGTGTGTCTGTGGATATGACAATGTGGTGCCATGTGCTCATTGCTGTGTGTGTGTGTGTGTGTGTGTGTGTGTGTGTGTGTGTGTGTGTGTGTGTGTGTGTGTATTTCTGTACAGGTGACACTGCGACATGGCCCTGGTCCCAGGTGTTGGGCTGAGAAGACACACACTGAGCGGAGGCTGTTGGTCCTAGTGTGTGCACTGTCTGTTGCCTTGTTCTTCTCTCTCATCACTGTCGGGATCTTCTACAAAGAGAGTGAGTGACTGAGATTGTTAAATCTGATTTGGCAAAATAATCCTGAGAAGAATTGACTAAACAACCTAGGGTTTCAATTTTATGTTTATATACAGTGGCTTGCGAAAGTATTCACCCCCCCTTGGCATTTTTCCTATTTTGTTGCCTTACAACCTGGAATCAAAATTTTAAAACAAATTTGGGGGGGGGGGGTGTATCATTTGATTTACACAAAATGCCTACCACTTCCAAGATGCAAAATATTTTTTATTGTAAAACAAACAAGAAATAAGACCAAAAAAACGGAAAACTTGAGCATGCATAACTATTCACCCCCACAAAGTCAATACTTTGTAGAGCTACCTTTTGCAGCAATTACAGCTGCAAGTCTTTTGGGGTATGTCTCTATAAGCTTGGCACATCTAGCCACTGGGATTTGTGCCCATTCTTCAAGGAAAAACTGCTCCAGCTCCTTCAAGTTGGATGAGTTCCGCTGGTGTACAGCAATCTTTAAGTCATACCACAGATTATCAATTGGATTGAGGTCTGGGCTTTGACTAGGCCATTCCAATACATTTAAATGTTTCCCCTTAAACCACTCAAGTGTTGCTTTAGCAGTATGCTTAAGGTCATTGTCCTGCTGGAAGGTGAACCTCCGTCCCAGTCTCAAATCTCTGGAAGACTGAAACAGGTTTCCCTCAAGAATTTCCCTGTATTTAGCGCCATCCATCAGTCCTTCAATTCTGACCAGATGGTGTTCTCGGGGTGATGAGAGGTGTTGGGTTTGCGCCAGACATAGCATTTTCCTTGATGGCCAAAAAGCTCAATTTTAGTCTAATCTGACCAGAGTACCTTCTTCCATATGTTTGGGGAGTCTCCCACATGCCTTTTGGCAAACACCAAACAGTGTTAGCTTATTTTATTCTTTAAGCAATGGCTTTTTTCTGGCCACTCTTCCGTAAAGCCCAGCTCTGTGGAGTGACTCTGGGGCCTTTCAGAACAGGTGTATATATACTGAGATCATGTGACACTTAGATTGCACACAGGTGGACTTTATTTAACTAATTATGTGACTTCTGAAGGTAATTGGTTGCACCAGATCTTATTTAGGGGCTTCATAGCAAAGGGGGTGAATACAATGCACGCACCACTTTTACGTTATTTTTATTTTTTAGCATTTTTTTAAACTAGTTATTTTTTTCATTTCACTTCACCAGTTTTGACTATTTTGGGTATGTCCATTACATTAAATCCAAATAAAAATCTATTTAAATTACAGGTTGTAATGCAACAAAATAGGAAAAACGCCAAGGGGGATGAATACTTTTGCAAGGCACTGTAATCTGATCAAATGTTCCTGGGTACAAATCTTTACTGTACCTTATGTATTTTCTCAGCTCAGTATTAGTTTCCTTGTATTTTGAGAAGGGAAGCAAATGCCACATCCTCCTATTCAACCACCTATCAGCCCACACATGACAAATCACTGCCGTCTGTTATGAGAACCAACACAAGAATGTGCTTTTACGAGACCATTCACTTTTCCACTCCTTTTATTCAGCTCCTGTTATTCATGAACCAAAGTCCAATTAGTGCATTCTCATTCTGTCTCATGTCTATGTTGATCATTGATAAAAAAAAATTACAACTTATTGTCCTAAAAACAACGTAGACTTATGTACAACATAGCCTCAAACATAGACATGAGAAAGAATGAGAATGCACTAACTGGACTTTGGGTCATGAATTATTATCCCTCTAAAAATATAAACATGTTTTCCACATCTTCTCCCAAAATAACAGAAAGGGAGTAGCCAAATGCCCCTGGGCTGTAAATCAGCTTTTGCATCTAGGACCGTAAAAATTCCAGAGCACTTTCTAATAAAATACTGTATTATCCATCTCCTTATTCAGTCCAATGAAAGAGAAAGAATACTCTGTGAACATCCGTTTACACTTCAGCTTTCACAGGCAGTTAAATGTATGACAATCACGTCAAAGCCAACGAATGCCCATCTTAGAACCAATGGCAGCATCGGACAATGGCCTGCTGAGAATATTCCACAACCGTGATGCGGCATTGTCCATGAGACAGGGAACCCAGAGAGAGGGGCCTGGCTGGGTGATTGATACCCTGCACCTGTGGAGAACATTCAGGTGTGACAGGTGCAGGCCAGGGGCAAGAGCAGTGCATCAGGACCAGCTGTTGGAACGGTGGGACAATGACTGACAGTGACCTCGTCTGTGGCACAACCTCTCGATGGGAAGCCCTTCTCTCCTCTATGGAAGCTCCATCCATCTATTTTTCACTGTTTATTTCTGTAGGAGTTTAAAGAAGGAAAAGCTATTTTGTGTTTATGTTTTTGCAGTTACCTGTTGTAAACAATGATTTCCAGATGGTCTGAAGACATCCATGTCATGACATATTTTGGATTATTTATTGAAGGGCCTTGAAATGTACTAGCTGTTTAAACAAAGAGATAGTGTTGTCCAAATGTTGAGGCTGAAGAAGCACAGTGTCTGTAAGAGGTATCTGATACAGTATGTTTAGTTGTCTTGTCCCACTCCCTGTTGGCAGCTCACCCTGGTGTGTGTCTGACGGAGCCATGCATTACTGTGGCCAGTGCTGTGATGGGAGCCCTGGACCGCTCGGTGGACCCCTGCCATGACTTCTACAACTTTGCCTGTGGGGGATGGGTGAGGAACAACCCCCTCCCTGAGGGAAAGTCCCGCTGGGGTCCCTTCAGCAACCTATGGGAGCGCAACATGGCTGTCATGAAGCACCTGCTGGGTAAGGTTTCTCCTCAGGGGGTGGGGTGTCCTTAGCTGCCCCTCTCACCCTTAACAACCTAGAGAAATACAAACAAACAGTTAGCTAGTTCTTATTGCCCCACTGTTCTCTCTACATGTTTGTTATCCCATTGTAATGTAAGATACGTTTGTAGAAGACTTAACTGTGAAACGTGTTGTGTTTGGCAGAGAACACTACCATGAAGGGGCTGAGCAAGGCTGAGGAGAAGGCCCAGAGGTATTACAAGGCCTGTATGAATGAGTCTAAGATCGAGGAGTTAGGGGCTCAGCCTCTACAGGAGCTCATCAATCAGGTGAGTTCACTCCTCAAGAGGCATCCTCATCCAGTCTTCTGCCATAGCCCTGTGTAGATATAAGCTATGTTTATGATGTGCTAATAGATGTGTAAAATATTCTTTATGGTATAATGTTAATGTAAATAGTTACCCTAAATGTATCCATTGCCCTGATATAAAGGATCACCACCTCTCAGGTTTTAAGTGAGCCTCTCTCTGAAGGAGATCATACATGTTCTCTTTCAGACGGGAGGATGGGCCCTAACCGGCTCCTGGGACAAAAACAATTTCCAGGAGGTTCTACGCACAGTGTCGGCCAACTACCGCTGCTCCCCATTCTTCACTGTGTTTGTCAGTACTGACTCCAAAAGCTCCAACAGCAATATTATCCAGGTGAGAGAAGAGCCAGTGGCCCCAGTGGCTCCAAGGCTCAGTGGCTGTAGGCCCAGGTACTCCCACAGGCCTCCTCCTCACTCCTTTAGCTTTTGATTTACATTCCTATTTACATTTGTCAGAATAATCATCAAACATCACTTATCCCCAGATCTGCTCAGAGAGGATTTACATGTACATTTAAATGCTATTTTTTGTTTGTTTTTTATGTGCAGCGGGACGTTAGAAATTCAAGGTTAATCGAGCTGCAGTATACTGTAGAGTAGATCCTGCAATACTATACTATCAAAGAAACAGGCTCACTTTGCTCAGAGTGCTGAAATGTTTAAATGGAGTGTGAGATGGTAGTCATGAACTGTTCCGCTTACCTACAGGTGGATCAATCCGGGCTGGGGCTCCCCTCACGGGATTACTACCTTAACAAAACGGCCAATGCAAAGGTACTGACAGGCGGCCGCACTATGGCACTATGGTGAATGGGCTTAAAGATTGTAGCATGATGAAAGGCAGGGTAAAGGAGGACATAAAATAGATCAGTGCCTTGATGCAGAGGCCTGATTAAATTAGGAAATTAACTTTATAAATTGGCACACTATACTGAGAAACTTATCTCGCTAGATATGTGTTTCATTAGGAATAGAACATTTCCAAAGGGGCAGTACAAACCCTACAGTACCCCACTTGGACAGAACATGTATAAATAATATAGAAAGAATGTATAGCTCAAGGCATAACTTTGTGCTTGTAATAGTCAGTATTTTCCTAGTGCTGGATTGTGTTTTTAAATGAATTTAACCAACATCTCTCCCTCTGTACTGCCTACATGGTCTTGGCAGTATCTGAATGCATACCTAGACTTCCTGGTGGAGTTAGGGGTCCTGTTGGGGGGCTCAGAGGAGACGTCCAGATCGCTGATGCAGGAGATTGTGGACTTTGAGACCACCCTGGCCAACATCACCGTACCCCAGGAGGAGAGGAGGGACGAGGAGCTCATCTACCATAAGATCCAGGCAAAGGATCTGGCGGTCAGTACCCACCCAACTTGTCTCTCTGCTGCTTCAGCTGATCCAAGCATCATGTCAACACCAGATATCCACCTGCAGTATCACTAGATACAAACCTACAGTAGATTGCATTTTGGTTTAACAGTGCAAGGTCTTTCTTCCTGCTTTCTATTCATACCTGCTGATTAAAAAAAGCAAAGAAACCAAAGATCGGATAGGACAGGTGCACCAATAGATATATTGACAGTATCATTGTTTCTGTGTGTTTCTGTAGACCTTGGCTCCTGCGGTGGACTGGATGCCCTACCTCACAGATGTGTTTGCTCCTGTACCCCTCAATGACTCGGAGCCTGTGGTGGTGTACGCCAAGGACTACCTCCAGAAGGTCTCCGACCTCATTGCCAGCACTAACAAGAGGTTAGAACCACTTTCTAGCCCTGCCTTCCACTCATTATTCATATTTGAATGATGATGGACAGCACTATGTAATTAAGGTAACCATTGGGATAATATGGTTTATGTAAGATTTCATATCGGTCCAGCAGTGAAATTATATGAGCAGCACAGGGGACATTATAAAACGTTATGCAAAGTACATATAGAATATAACCTTTTGCTTCCTTTCCTGAAATGTTAATGTGATTAATGATATAATGAATTAATCTACTCCTACCTGTGCAGCGTCCTGAACAACTACATGATCATGAAGGTGCTGAGGAAGATGGTGTCCATCCTGGACCAGAAGTTCCAGGATGCTGAGCAGCGCTTCTTTGAAGTCATGTACGGAACCAAGAAGGTGAGAGAGAGATGGAGATAATGTCAGTGCTGCAAGCTGGCAGGGAAATGGGCAACATACCTATCAGATAAGAGTACTCAAGGGGACCGGCTTTTCCTGCTGCTTCAGTCAACAGAGTTAAGCTATATTTGCTTACAGCACAGATAAAAATAAATGAGTGGCTGAAACTATGTGGCTATAAAGTACACTGTAAACGGTAATTGGCATAGATAAAACGTAAGAAGATGTGCACTTGACAGTGGCGAACTCAATTAAACAAGGAGCTGATAAGAAAATACTTAAGTAGCTGAGTCACTGTCATCACTAGACACACATTCAATTGACCAGACAGCTTTTTCCCTTGGCTGTCTGCTGCTAACAGCTATCTGCTGTGTTGTGTTGTGCTGTGGGGGTTCCAGCTATCCAAACCCTTATATGAGCTAGATCCTGTTCCCCTGGCCTTGCTTTCCATTGGGGTCACACTGTCAAATCATACCAAGTGCTTTCTCGTCCTGTGTGTGCGTGTTTGTGCACATGTGTGCACAATTCATCCACACTACACGTTTAGCACCCCTCCCTTTTTACCTCTGTCACTCACTCCGTCATTGTTTCCCTTGTATCTACTCCTATCTGTCTCTCTTGTTCTCTCGCTCACCCATTTCCACTCTGTTGGCCTCTTCCTTTCCCCCTCCCCCTGTCTGCATAGTCTCAGTTTGGATTCTAATATCCCCAGTAGGAGAGGGGAAGTTGGGGGGCGAGAGGAGTGTCATGTTGTTGCCAATCTCTGAGAGTCTCACAAAAACGACAGTCAGCCCTTTTAGAGGGGAATGTGCTGTCTCCCTACACTCTCTGATAAAGGCCTGGCTTCGCCTTGAGGTAAAGGATTCCAAGGACATATGCAAAACCAACACTACTACTTGATGCTTGAGGGGCATTATAAAACCTAATACAATTACAGACTGGGTTGATACTGTATTAGGATCATGCAGGGTTTTCAAGTATTTGTATAGACTTGGTATAGTCTGAGAGACAGTGCTATCTTGTGTGTTTAGGTAATGTCAGTGTTTTTGTGTGTAGGTGGTGTCATTGTTCCTGTGTGTGGGTGGTGTGGTGTCATATTTCTCATGTGTTCAGTGTGATGTTTCAGAGCTGCGCCCCACGTTGGAAGCTGTGCGTCAGCGACACGGACAGTGCCCTCGGCTTTGCTCTCGGGGCCCTGTTTGTCAAAGCCACCTTCGACGAGGACAGCAAGGCCATTGTAAGTGTTTCAAGGTATCACCCACCCACACACTACCTCCACTGTGAGCTGCCACTGGGTGAGATTCTGACAAGCCTTTCCTTTTCCCTGTCCGTCTGTCAGGCAGAAGATATGGTCTCTGAGATCAAATGGGCATTTGAGGACAGCCTGAAGTATGTGGGCTGGATGGACCAGGAGACCAAAAAGGCAGCCAAAGAGAAGGTGGGAGAGCCGGGTTGCTTTGAATAACTTGCAGAAAGATGTTTTCCACTGTTAGGGTGAGGGAATTGTCATTACACTGACTGCAAACTATGGAAAAGTGTATTGCCTTGTAACTAACATGGTATGGTATGCTGTGTCTGTTACAGCTATAGCATTTCAATTGTATTCAATAAGAGATTGGCCAAGGACAAGTGTACTTACTATGACTGCGATATGTGGGTGTCTCACCTAGCTATCTTAAGATGGATGCACTAACTGTAAGTTGCTCTGGATAAGAGTGTCTGCTAAATGACTCAAATGTAAATGTAATAGTCCTTATTGCTATAATTGTCATGTTTAGCGTAAGGCTCGTGAAGCTAACTCTGCAGTGCCATCTGGTGTTAGCATCTGTCTCAATTCACCTCACCTGCTCTGTTATAGGCTGATGCCATTTACAACATGGTAGGATATCCTAAATTCATCATGGACCCCAAGGAGCTTGACAAAGTGTTCAATGATGTAGGTAAATATGTAATTAAAATAAATATGCATACTTCTGTTTTATGAAGTTGTCCATGTCTCATCATATGTTGATAAAAATACTCAACTCTTTGATGTTGTCTGACTGTAAGACACCCTGGTTCTGAGGAGGGTTGCCAGTATTACAGTATCTCCTGTTTGCATTGCTTGTGTGTAAATCTCGTTCTCTCTCTAACCTGATTCCTCTCTCTCTCTCTCTCTCTCAGTTTGAGGTGGTGTCTGACCTGTATTTCCAAAATGTAATGCAGTACTACAACTTCTCTGCCAGAGTGACTGCGGACCAGCTGAGGAAAACCCCCAACAGAGACCAGTGAGTGTCTATAACCCGGCACCCACCTCCCTGTTGCTCGCCTCTCCAGAGAGGAGGTCAAATGCTCTGACAGGGACAAATTCCCATTCTGACTCTGTGGAATACTGCTGGCATCCAGAAACGTTCCCCGGGCAACCAATATCCCTCAGCTGAACTGATCCTTTTCTCTCACTACATAGTCAAGTAGCTCAGGGTTCTCATTCTTTCACACTGATCTGTAGTCAACAGCCTAGCTAAGGGCATAGGGGAAAGTCAACGACTGGTTTTTACCACCCTGATCTCAGACTTTTGTGCTCAGTTGGTGTCATATCCTATGTCTTGCATACACAGGTGGAGCATGACCCCTCCTACAGTGAATGCATACTACAATCCCACCAAGAATGAGATGGTGCTCCCAGCAGGAATCCTTCAAGCTCCTTTCTACAGCCGCTCTTGGCCAAAGTAGGTCCCTCTTCCCTTTTCAGCCTATACAGTTCCCTAATACCTCCCCATCTCAGGCACAAATACAGGTACACCACATGTGTGCGCCGTGCTTGCGTGAATTGTATACAGTATGTGTGTCTCCTGGAGTGTCTTCACATAGCCCAGAATGTAATTGCTAGTTATAAAATGTTTTTATTTTTCTTGAAAGGATTTTGAATCTATTTCCAGGGCCCTGAACTTTGGGGGAATTGGTGTAGTTATGGGTCATGAGTTGACACACGCTTTTGATGATCAAGGTAAGACCTTTAATTTTCATATAAGTTGTAGTGTCTTAACTCTTATTACTTCATATGGGAACTAAGAAGTTTTGCTACAAACTAAAATACAATTTTTACATGGCAGGGGAGACACTTTGATCACAGGGCGAGCTGACCCCTGCGAATTCACCAGAATATCGACTGCATAATCTTTTGGGGACTGTGTCCGCCCTCTCCCCTAAAAAAAAGAACCAAAACAATATTATAGGCTGTTGTAAGCATCCCACCAATCGAACGTAACATGACACATTATGATTTCAAATAAGGCCTCCAGTTCTACAGCGTATTTTGCTTTATGTTAAAGGGAGGGAGTACGACAAGGATGGGAACCTCCGCTCCTGGTGGAAAAACTCATCTGTGGAGGCCTTTAAGAAGCAGACCCAGTGTATGGTGGAGCAGTACAGTAACTACAGCATCAACAAGGAACCCCTCAATGGAAAACACACCCTGGGAGAGAACATAGCTGACAATGGTGGACTGAAGGCTGCCTACAAGGTTTGTATGATTGGGAGGTGTTGTTAGGGTGGGCTATGGGAAAGTAGACTTGACGATATGAAGAGCAAGAGCAATTCAACTTACACACACATACTGTAAATGTGCAGACGTTTCAGAATCATCAATGTGAGATGCAGTATTTGGAAGGTCAGAACTATGACACACATTACATGTTTTCTTGTTCACATGATTGGGTCATTGTGGGTCATGTCTTTACTCTGTGGTGGAAAAACCGGGCTTGCCTACATCACTGCAAAGCCTGGAAACGCAACAGGTGGCTTGGAGAGGCTTGGTCAGCTTCTGAGCGAGCTCTCACACTCAAACATTCTTTCCATCAAATTAAAGTCATAGGTTATGGAGCAGATGAGCCAACCATATAGCAGAAAGGGGGACCTGCATGAGCGCTGTCTGTTAGTGAGGACTGAGGAGGAAACAAAGCTGAGGGCGAGCAGGAAGAGTCTTCTGTTTTTTTCTCATACTGTTCTCTATGGCGAGAGGAGGATAATGCATGCTGCCTGTAATATGACCCTTGTCTGCTTTGAAGGCTTATATGAACTGGATTGCAAAGAATGGAGAGGAGGCCACCCTGCCTGTCCTGGGGATGACTAATCATCAGTTATTTTTTGTTGGATTTGCCCAGGTTTGTGCCACTTAAAGTATATCCATGTCTGTGGCAAATTTAGTAATGCGTTCTCTAGCATGCCTACCATCAACATTGTTATATATTAATTATAATGACCTATTACATTGATAATGTAAATGTAGGACTTTTCACTCTGAAATCCTTAATATGTGTGTCTGTGCTTCCTGCTATATGTAGGTATGGTGCTCAGTTCGGACTCCGGAAAGCTCGCATGAGGGCGTCATCACAGATCCACACAGTCCATCAAGATTTCGAGTTATTGGCACCATCTCCAATTCCCATGAGTTCTCTGAGCACTTTGGCTGCAAGGCAAATGCCCCCATGAACCCTAAACACAAGTGTGAGCTTTGGTGATGCCTAGCTACCCATTTGTCGGTATGGCAGGTGTCAAAATGGGCACTGGGGACATGGAGCAAAATAGAGGCAGAGGAAGGAGAGCATTGGTCTTGATACCAAAAATCCATCCGTTTTACCCAGTCTACCCTTCTTAGGGTCCTTATGAGGACTGAAGCTGGAGGTTGAGCCAGTACCAACTCTCTTCATAAAGACAATTTGTTTTAGAAAGCTGTGTCTTTTTCCCCAGTTAAACTCTATGAAAATGTGCCTTTATGTTTATATAAAGGAGGAACAATTTTAACACTGGAAACCGAAGAAATTGTTATAAAAAGGGGAAAACTAATGGGAACTTCTCTCAATCAGGTTTTATGTAGAGTTGTCATATGCCTTATTTTTCAACAGGAAGTGATATTTATTTTCTGTATTTTTCACTGTTACAATTTGTATCTGATCAATCCACCTCTATATGTTGTGTCTTCACTTATTGTAGATTTTTAGACTGCAAAAATAAAATGACGAGTTGCAATGGCTGGATTTTTGACTGAAATAATATCCGGAGGAAACCGTCAATCACATCTAGAATACAAGTCAAGTTCCTGTCATAACAAGTAGATTGTAAAAGTCATATTTTATTATTGCCCATGATTGATCCGATTCAATAAGTTATGTGTATCTCGTTTCTGCATCAACAAACCTAACACAACATCATAATTTGTGTAAAGTCTGATTGCTTAATGTCTCCAGTTTATACAGTAGCGACGTTGTAAATAAGTGATCCTCCGAATTGCTGAATGCCTGATATGATAAGGACATATTATCTGAATAGTTTTCAATCAGAGAATTCTGAAACTTGTGAAGGATGTATTGACCATTGAACAAGTCACATAACAAAGAGTTTTCCCATTCTGTATCTGGTCATGCATGACAGGACTTTTCTGTGTCATAAAACACCTTTTATAATCTAATAAAAATGTTGTCACTATTCTTTTGTATGCCCATCTTTTTCTATGGCTCGTGTGATGCTTCAAAGTGACACCTTTTTATATAATGATTTTTTATTGTTATATCAAAGCAGAAATCATTCAATCGTTTTACTTGGAAATTAAAAGTATGTCGATTGATGGTTATTACCGATAGATGTCGCTGCCCACAAACTTTACAGTACTGAGTACAGTACAATCTACTACAAAGTTCTCTCTCTCGGTCTTCTGCCTGTAAATACACCATCATCATTATTATGTGTACAGATTACAGTACCTGAACCTGATTACATTTGTATACATTATTGAGCGGTTCTTGAGAATGACCCCATAGATATAGCATGAGACAGTTTATTTTACACACACACACACACACACACACACACACACACACACACACTTCAAGACAGCCACTAAAGTTAAAATAATAAATACCATGCATTCTTTAAAAATAGCATCAAGCATAGTTATTTATTAGAACAAGAATAATGCAGTGCTCATCAATATACATGAATATATATGCCAGTCAGTAGAGTAGACGATCTTTGGCCACATGAATGCAACAAATTAAGCGTCATTTTCGATCCCGCTAGGTAAGCCGAACATACCCGTAATTGGACGAGAATTGCCGAATCGTCTGTCCTGCCGGACTGGAAGCGGCAACAACGCCATGTTAACGAAGTCTCATCTCCGTGGGAAAATAATTAGCTAGCTATAGAAAAATCAGTTGTTGAAAACAAATGTTAAATTATCGAAGGAGGAAAGACACCGGCGACAGTGCTCGGAAGAACTGAACCGGATCTGCAGAGGTCCTGGACGGGCAAGGGAGGCAAACCTCCCACCGTCCCCATGAATAACACCATAGACCCGAACAGCGACTTTCCATGAAAAAAGCTTTTCTGCGTTGCTAATAGCTAGCTAGCCCTGTCGGCAAAGGGATTTGCGGCCTGCTTCAATAATATTAAACGCTTGCTAGCTATATTTATGCAAGCTAGATATATTTTGTTTCAGTATTTATTAGTGTATTGTTTTGTTTTTTTGCAATGAGTTTGCCGACGAAAATAGTCACCAAACCCGCCACTGTCGCAGTAAGTGGACCTGGAACTGGCCCATCTCCGTCGAGCCAACTGCGGGCTACCCTGACCTCGGTGTCTTTACCACCAGGAGCCCCAGGTGCTCCTCAGCCGAACGCCGTGCCGCCACCTCAGTATCCTTCATTGGCAGGAATGCCCCTGCAATCTCTTGGTCAGGTATTCGGGGAAAACACATTTATGTAGCTAGTTAGTAACGTTATTGGTTAGAGGTTGGATGCGGGTGAATGACTGATGTTTCAAAGAGCAGGGAGGGGACAATTTAGCTTGCTAGGTAGTTGGCTAACAGATGAGTGGCTTGTTGACTAACGTTACTTACTAAGCTAGCTAGGCAATGTAGCTAAACGGCAGATAATTGATTTTGAAGCATTTTGTTGGCCAATGGCAATGCAAATTGATATTGTGTATATGTGGATCAGAAACTACGGGCTAACTAACATCACACTCAATTTGACGAGTTGGTGTAGGCTAGCTAACTGCTAGTAGAGGGCCACCGGCTTTGTTCGGTTTACCGGTAGCTAGCTAGCCAGCCACTTTCATATTAGATAGGTAGGTTCATTTGCAACTGAAGACACGTAGTAACGGCTAACTAATCCGGCTAGCCTATTGGCTAACTATTTTATTGGAGGAAGTCTTTGTGAGAGATGAGGGTTTTGGGTGGACCAGCTAACTAGATTTTGTAGCCATCATCCTAAAACTATAACGTTAGTTATTCTTATTAACTAGTATGAGTGAACGTAAACTAGGGAACTAGCTAGTTACATGGGCCTAGGATCCCCTCCCCGGTTTCCATAGAAGTGATGCTAACGCCAGTTGTTATTTAGCTAGCTAGGCCGTAGTTGCACCGGGTAGTAGATGACAGCCGGTGCAACACCTGTATGCCCATCTTGACAGGGGAGTGTCGCCAGGCATTTGGTTGTTGTTAGCAATGTGTGCTACTTTACTGTAGTACGGTAGTACTAGTGTAATGAGTCTGATCCAGTTTGCGTTTATTCCTATTTTATTTGTAGTTAGGGATATGTTTAATTGTGCATATTTCATGATTGTATGAATGACATTCAGTAAGCCTAGCTAGCTATGTCAAGTCACTGCGTATTGAGACTCGTGACGTTTGGATTCTTTTGACAGCTACCTTGCTGTCCAGTTTGTGTTGCATCATCATAATGTGTCATGATTCAAATATAATTTTTGTGAACAGAAATTGATCAAGAGCATTTCCCCCACTTCAGAAACCCTTGGTCCCTGTCAACACTTGATCCCAGTGAAATTATTCTTCCAAATAAGACCTCCTAAAAACCATTCCTTACTTGATTTGTACAGGCTGTGAATATCAACTTTGAGTCCTAATCAGTTTGAGATGGATACTTGCTAATGGTCATTTAAAGTTAGGATCTATTCTAGTGGCTTTTTATGATTAAAACATATTATGATTTCAATCTAATGTCCAGTCATAATGGAAGTATTGTGTACAGAGTGCACATGCTGCTGTTTTGTGGTTGGTCGTATTGTCACCACCTGTTTTGTATACAGCTCGGTGGTGGTGGTTTGAAGATTAGGTTGAATTAGCTTCTTGCCTATAACAGTGATGGTGTGCTTCAGAGACAGCATTTCTGTGGTATCCAGAGTGTTCCAAGGGTCTTAATTAGCTTCTTTCACATTTTAGGGTGTTGGGCTTACAAGCTCTGTTCAGTGGTGCTCTGTGTCTCAGTGATCTCTGCACTGCTTGTGGTCTAGATTAATATTAATTAGTATTTCATCCTGTTCAACTGTGACTCCTTCATGCCCCGTGGCGCTCAGGTGGGACTGTTCCACACAGTCTGATAATGGAAGATTATTCAGGCCTTTTGCAGCTTTCATTTCTATATTTCATTTTTATCGAATATTTGTTTGCATGTCAATTGGGTACCTAACAGGTTCCATAAACTAATTCTGCCATGTAACCACCACTTGGCCAGTATTGTTATAGGTTGAGCAAAGAAAAGTTTAGGCTACAACAGCGAGGTGACAGATAAGATGCATCAAACTACGCAGATTTCTCTCTGTCTATAGAAAAACATCAATGTCATTAAACTCACTGACCCTCCTGGTGTCTGCCCCTCCTCCCTGCCTCCCTGAGGTCAAAAGTGTGGGAACATGTTATTCTCTGTCTGCCCTCTCCTCTCAATGGATTTCCGTGTGTGTGTAGGCTGAGATTGTGGGTAGGCGGGGCTAGTTGCTACTCCTGGTTGCCAGAGAGAAACCCGGTGCATGCGGCTACTGGTGCACTCCCCAGACAATGGCAGTGCTGCTTAGCATTCAGCACGAGAGGCCAAGGCGGCGCTTCCCACCATCTGACAACAAAGGCCCAGGTCAGCCTACAGTAGTGCCCTATAAAATCTGCGTTGCGGACGGAATCACGGAATCTAGACATTCAGACGGATTTCAACATTATACATTTTTTTATTGATTTGTCGAAGTTAATCATAAGACATGAACAAAATGCATCAGTGATTCGTATTTTCCTGCAACTTTCTGAAACGTACAGGAATGCCCCTGTGTGTGTGTGGTGCGCATGCATATGTGTACACTTTAGCGATGATGCTAATGATGACCGTCTTCTGGTAGAGATGGAAAGGCTTTCCAAAAACCCTTCTCAATTAATGGTTAACTACAAAGTAGCCTATGCCTACCTGGTAGAATGATATCATGATATAAATTTGTTTTGCAAACTCTGCAGTCATATGAGCTCTACAGAAACATTGCTAACCAAACAATGGATTCTGGCTGGTGCCCAAAATCAAAATGTCTTAGATTTTTCCCAGACATGGTCTCCTGATGTGGTTTAATCATTGTTGTGGACTTACAGTGTATTTGGAAAGTATTCAGACCCCTTGACTTTTCCCACATTTTGTTACGTTACAGCCTTATTCTAAAATGGATTAAATAAATATTTGTCCTCCTTAATCTATACACAATACTCCATAATAACAAAGCGAAAATAGGTTTTTATGTTCTTTTGCGAATGTATTAATAATAAAAAACAGATATACCTTATTTACATAAGCATTCAGACCATTTGCTATGATACTCGAAATAGAGCTCAGGTCCATCCTGTTTCCATTGATCATCCTTGATGTTTCTACAACTTGATTGGAGTCCCCCTGTGGTACTCCAATGTTTCTACTATTGATTGGACATGATTTGGAAAGGCACACACCTGTCTATATAAGGTCCCACAGTTGACAGTGCATGTCAGAGCAAAAACCAAGCAATGAGGTGGAAGGAATTGACCGTAGAGCCCACAGACAGGATTGTGTCGAGGCACAGATCTGGGAAAGGGCACCAAAAAATGTCTGCAGCATTGAAGGTCTCCAAGAGAACAGTGTCCTCCATCATTCTTAAATGGAAGAAGTTTGGAACCACCAAGTCTCCTCCTAGAGCTGACCGCCCGGCCAAACTGAGCAATCAGGGGAGAAGGGCCTTGTTCAGGGAGGTGACCAAGAACCCGATGGTCACTCTGAAGGAGCTCTAGAGTTCCTCTGTGGAGATGGGAGAACCTTACAGAAGGACAACCATCTCTGCAGCTCACCAACAATCAGGCCTTTATGGTAGAGTGGCCAGACGGAAGCCACTCCTCAGTAAAAGGCACATGACAGCCTGCTTGGAGTATGCCAAAAGGCATCTAAAGACTCTCAGACCATGAGAAACAAGATTCTCTGGTCTGATGAAACCAAGATTGAACTCTTTGGCCTAATTGCCAAGCGTCACGTCTGGAGGAAACCTGGCACCATCCCTACGGTGAAGCATGGTGGTGGCAGCATGATGCTGTGGGGATGTTTTTCAGCGGCAGGGACTGGGAGACTAGTCCGGATCGAGGGAAAGATGAACGGAGCAAAGTACAGAGAGATCCTTGATGAAAACCTGCTCCAGA